AAACCCACAACCCTAAACCCTATAAACCCTAAACCCTAAACCCAAAAACCCAAAAACCCTACGTCTCAGCCGAAGCCTCGGCCACGAAGCTCAGTGCCGCGGCCTCGCTCGTCTCGAAGCTGCGGCTGAAGCTCGGATGCTTCACCGACAAGCTCTCCTGGGGGTAAGGGATGCTTGGGTCCCCTTAAAAGGGGACCATAATAGGGTTATTTGGGTCCCCGTAAAAGGTGACGAAATTAGGGGAATTTGGGGTCCATTTTAAGTTTCAGAGGGTACTATAACAGGGGAATTTGGGGTACCATAATTAGTGGGGCTTCGAGGGTGGGGTTTAGGGTCTAGGGTTTCAGGCTTAGGGGTTTAAGACTTGGTGTTTAGGGTTGAAGGTTGAGGTTTAAGGTTTAAAAGTCTTTAAGGTTCAGGGCTTCAGATTTGGGGCTTTGTGCGGTTTAGGGCTTAGGGCTTTGGGCTTTAGGGTTGGTTTAGGGTTCTATTCGTCAGGGGACATCTCCTTAGGGCCTTGGGGTTTCCTGCGGACTTATGATTCCGAAGTGATTCGTTCATGTGCACGGTTTAGGGTTTAGGGTTTAGGGGGTTTAGGGTTTAGGGTTTAGGGTTTAGGGTCTAGGTCGGGAATGCTGCGGGCCGACAATTCCACTGCGCTCCCTTAGGTTGCTTTAGGGTTTGGGGTGTAGGGCCTCCGATTCTCGAGGCTTGCGTATGGACCGAACTGCAAAGGGCTTCCTGCTTCGAGCAGCATAACACCTACCTTCCTCACAGCCTATCGCCCTCATACCTAAATACTAAGTCCAACCCGAAACCGACGACGCTCCTATTCCTGAGACCCGCACATCCTGAACAGTAGCCCGAAAGAGACCCCAAAGCTACCCTAAAACCCTAAACCGATCGAAACGCTACCTATTGACAGGCAGCCCTACACACCAAAGCTTTAGACCCCGAGCCTTACATTCCCCGAGGGCCTGGGAGCCACCGACAATCTGAAGGCGGACCGCCTCAGTGAAATCAATCCTGAGCTGTGTTCTGGGGGGAAGCCCTTAATAAGTCTAGCATCAGCTCCTTTGTGAGAGTAGTCTCTGCCGAAGTCAAAACAACAGCTTCAGAACATAAACCCTCTATCCCAAAGCCTGAAACCCCAAGCCTCAAGCCTAGACTCTTGGAGCCTGAAAGGAATCTTAAACAAGCAACTTCAAGAAATAACCCTAAACTTTAAAAAGCCTATGTAAACCTGAAGCCCGAAAGCCCAAACCCAACACCCAAAAATCCTAAACCCAACACCTGAAACCCTGAACTTCAAACCCAAAGCCCTTACTCTAAACCCTACAAACACAGCCTAAAACACCTAAACCCTAAACCCTAAACCCTAAACCCTAAACCCTAAACCCTAAAACAAAAAAAAACAAAGCCCAAGCATCCACAGAAGTCGCCCCGACGCTTGCTGGAGCACCTGGGCCCAGCTTCGCGGCTCTTTGGAGCTTCAGGGCTTTTGGATCTAGGGATCTAGGGTTTAGGGCTTTTGGGTTTTAACATGGGTTTACTTAAAGATTAGGGTTGTGGGGCCTTAGGGACCCCCTAGGGCTTTAGAGTGTTCAGCTGCGGGAGTTTTGGGCTGAAGAATCCGCAGACAAGGGTTGAAATTGAGGATTGCAGGTTCGTTCGGAGTTTGGAGCACGTGGGCTCTAGGATCCAAGTTTTAGGGATAACGACGTTTGTGAGAAGTAATCATGGCTTGAATGATGCTGCTGGTATTCGAACTGCTACTACTTGTGATACTCTCCAAATGGGTGGATGAGTACGGTTATGCTGTATGCTTATACTGCCACTGGCCCCATGATCATTCCTTCCTGGCATTTCCGTGATAATTCTCTTCTCGGGGTGGTGGTCAGGAGCTAAACGTTCTTCAAGCCTCGTGTGAATGAGAGCAACGAGCTGCTGCGAAGGACGTGGTTCGCACACTGGAGATGATGTTAGCTTCGGCTATAACGAGTATTGTGTACTTGTGAGTTCCTTGGGCTTGAGTTTCTTAGGCTTGGCCTGAATCGAAAACAGCTTGTGGACGTCATCAGAACCAACATGATGTTGCCTGTTGTGGTGACTATGAGCTTGCTAATTGATATTTGCCTAGGGAGGCTGATGGTTTCTGAGACATTGAAGCATGTGAACTTGATGAATGTCATGCTGCCCTTGTAGTTTTTGACCGGCGCGATGAGGATGGTGCTGGTCCTGATCTTAATGAGGACGACCAGGGTCATGTTGCCGTTGATGGCACTGACTGCTATCACTAGGCTGATCACCTCCCTGGTAAAAGAAGACAAACATCAGTATGAGCCTGACTCCGGTCATGATTACATGGATCACGAACCCTGATTCCAAATCCTTTCATCCCTGAACTAGCGCTAACGCTAAAGATCCCCAAACATCCCTCGACCCTAAAACCCAAATATGCCTAAACATTCCGAAAACCCCGCAACCCATAACCCCGCAACCCTAAGCCCTAAACCCTAAACCCTAAACCCTGAACCCTGAACCCTAAACCCTAAACCCTAAACCCAAAACCCAAAACCCTGAAAGCCTGGACGTCGGAGACTGCGATTCCCCGGCTGAGGATGGCCACCGCCGTGCGGATCAGGGAAGCGACGCGCTGGTCCTCTGCGGGCTCCGATAAGGCCGACCTAAGAAGGCTGGCGAGGCTTCAGGGATGTAGGGTTTAGGTTTTAGGGTT